CCTTGTCATCAAAGGTATTGCTCTTCACACATTTCCTGTCTAAGGGCATGTCTACACTGCAGGGCAAAAGTCGAATTAAGCTACACATCTTCAGGTATGTCAATTGCGTAGCTGAAGTCAAAATAATTTACTTTGTCTTTTGGCACTGTCTACCCAGCAGGAAGTCAAAGGAAGAACATTCTTCCTTCATATTCCCTTACTCCTTGTGAAATGAGGGTTACACTCATTTCAGAAGTCCTCCATCTTGACATTATTTCAAAATAATGGCTTGCTGTATATACATGCACTTTGTTAGTTTGAAATAATGTCAGTTATGCCAAAATAACGCTGCTGTGTAGACATACCCTAAGATGACAGAAAGGATACTAAGATGTAGCCAGTTCTGTGTTTGAATTAGTGAGTCCTGAGAAGTATATAGATTTCCTAGGTATCTAAGAAGTCTGCGTTTAAGTAGCCAGATTATGGACCTAAAATAACTTTTTATATGTATCAAAGACACATTTGGCCCAATCTCTCTAATTCAGTTGGCTTCCCTTTACATGGAACCAAATTCATTTCACTGTTGATGCCTAGCAAAAAAAACCCACACCTTTTGCCATAGTTATAAGACTTAGTGATAAATGAAATGTGTAATTTCACCTTTGGAATATGATACACTCTTTTGAATTATGCAGAGAAAATGTCTATCACTCCACCTACTTAAGACATTTTCCTGAATATATGCATATCAGGCTGTCATATTACTCAGATTGCTGTTATGCTGTGATGGCAGACTTCATTTGCAGCCAACCGTGCACATGAAATCAAAGGGCCAAACTATGACAGCTCTGACTTTTGCTTCACTGATTTTTTTAAAATTTCAAAATAGACTTTACTACATCTTCAGCGCATTTTTTCAATACATGTTTTTGTTCTTTCTTTTCTAGTCTATATCTGTCTCTGTATTTATAGTGATTTTTCAAGTATATGTATGGTATTTTATTGCAACACTTCACTGTGCTATATACACTTTCATTAAGTAAGCTTCAAAATATCCTGTGAGGTAAATAAGGGCTATATGAGACCCACAGAGGTATACAAAAGCCCACAAATCATACATACAGAATAAGACAATCAAAATTATAATTTACCAATCATTGCTATGCAATCCCCTCACAATTACCACAAATATTCTGTTTCCTGAGGATATGGGGAAATTATGGTAACCACAGGTATTAGTAAATGGTGATAGTTGGGAAATGCCTTTTTATGTTGATGACTGCTGTCTCTAGTGCTAAATTTTACAAAACTAGTGCCATCTGAAACACACTTTTGTGGTAAACATCAGCCGTGAAAGAGTACAACAGAGTGATGTTCAAATATTAATTTGGGTTGAAAAACATGCATATCATTAGATATAACTGATCTTGCCTAACTCATAGCTATGCCCTGCAATAGAGGTATTTTACTGTTTTGAAAAAATATTTTCTACTAGACGATTTACCTGGCATTGCTTGTGTTCTTAACTAAATTTTTTTGGGTGGGAAATAAAATGAAAATGCACATGCTTCATTTAAATCAGTGCTCTGAGGGAGGGCTGTAGATGAGGGGTTCAGTTTGTAGGCTGTTCCAGGAGAGAGAACTACCCAGCCCTCTCTCACCACAGCAGCTTAGGCCAGGTGAGCAGTGCCTCTCCATGGCTGTTGCAGCTCCAGTGGGCAGAGCTGGGGGATGTGTGCATGTTCCCTGGCTGAGGCAGGTCCAGGTCCATCTGCACCCTGTGCTTCCCAGCCAGAGTGAAGAATGCAGAAAACTGTGCAGTTTCCTCTTGCTCCCTGATGAAGGGTGCCTTAGGGGTGGGAGGCCCAGGGCTGGGGCAGTCCTGGAGAAGGCACCCCCAGCCAGCCACTTGCATTTGCCACGTGATTCTCTTTTTCTGTACAGGGCATTCCCGAAATATGTTGCTCTAGTATATGTTAGTTCCGCATGTAGGAACTGTTGTGTTATTAAATCTTTCCCTTCTCCACTCATACATCTCTCACACACACGGAAAGACCAATTTGTGCAAACAGAAGTCATCCACGGGAAAAAAATTCCCTCCTTTACGTCATTTTGCTGTACGTCCATGTTTTTAGGAACGTATCTTCGATGTATAGAGGGGATGCCCTGTATGGTTTTATGAGAATCAATCCCATTCCAGGCACATCCAATTTCCTGACACAACCAAAACCTTACCTTACTTAAATTATGATAAGAAAAACAATATACCGAAATTCTTGAACAAACAAACAGACACACAGACACACAAAGTCTTTCAAATATGTAGCCTATAGTGTGTGTGTGTGTGTGTGTGTGTGTGTGTGTGTGTATTCCCAAATATTTGTCTATTATTATATGAGCCAGATTTTTTTGTAATGTGCTTATCAATGCAATGAAAAAATTTCCTGTTAGTCATAAGGTAACACAACCCCTACTCTAATATTGGACCAAATTCTGATATCATCTCCCACACTGAGTGAAACCTTATTCTGCAAGCAGTCCCATTGATGTCAAGGTACTACTCAACAAAAGTAAAGGTCTCACCAGCTATGGTCTGGCATGAACTCTAATAAATATTTGAATTATACAGGTATGCAATTTTAACAATGTTTCCATTCTCTAGGATTGATATAATCACTGAAGAAAATTAAATTAAATAGGAAATGTCTCTCTCGCCATTTCTGTATTTGTGCACTATATTGAAAGATGGGGAAAGAGATTTTTTGAACCATACAAGTAAATCAGTGCAGACCTGTTGATTAAATGTATGAGTAAGAAAGATTATCCATGATGTGCCTGCCTTGGCTATAATCTCTCTTCCTTTCTGAAGCCCCACATTTGGATGCCTCCTTTTCTACAATTGGAATCACGAGACAAATTCTCCTCTGCCCTGTGACTTACATAGTTAATTACACCTCTGTGAAGAGAGTGTAAAGTGGATCTAAAATATTACCAAATCAGACTGAAAGTGAAAAATCAGCTCAATCTTCTCAGTGAGGAAACTACTGGTGTTGAATCCACTGTCAGTTACATTATGGCACTTGAGTGTTTATTAGAAGAATTCAACATAAAATATAATGAGTCAATTCAGTACTGGTGAAAATCCATTTTCTTCAGTAGGTGAACTTGTCTTTGTGTATGGCACATGAAATTTTGTATATTCCATACATGTAGATAAGAAATTAAATTCCTAATATTTTATTATTATGACCCTCTATTGTCAATAAATGACAATAAATACCATATTTGAAAACAAACTACCATTTGAAAGAGGCATACTTCTTGTCCATTCAGAGCTATGACTGCAAATCATTTTGAATTTGAAATACCAGTACAATTCAATTAGAGGTTTGTGTCCAGATCACTGATGGGACGCTGCCCTTCCAGAGCAAAATGTTGGAAAAAAACCTGAATTATAATATTGAATCTTTTATACCTGTGATACTACCAGAGCAGTTTGCTGGACTACTGCTGCATCCATATTCTGGTCAAAGTACTTAATATGTGTCTATCGTTAAGCTTCTATCTTGTCCTAGTGACTTAAGGGGAAGTACTCATAGGTAGAGCTTTTTGAGAATTTCAAGCTCTGATTTGTAGGAAATTCTGTTATTTTGAGCTTAGTTTTATTCTGAATCTAAATGAGGATGAAGGATTTATGTGACATAAAATTGACAGTAAAAATGTTGCTCAGGCCAATCAAAAATTGTTTCAATAAAATCGAAGCATTGTATTTCAATTTTCATATTTTAAGATTTATATATATATATATATATATATATATATACACACACACACTCTATGGGTACGTCTAGACTGTAAGCCTCTTTCAAAAGAGGCTTTTTCAAAAGAATCTTTCAAAAAAGCCTCTTTCAAAAGAGAACGTCTATACTGAAATCACTTCCTTTGAAAAGGCAAGCCGCTTCTTCGAAAGAAAGCATCCAGGCAGCTCTTGAAAAAGCCCTGTTTGAGTTCAATAACACCTTTTTTCGAAAGAGCACTTTCGAAAAAAAGCATTATTCCTCGTAAAATGAGGTTTTCTGAGATTGAAAAAACTGCTGCATTATTTTGATTTAATTTCTAAAGAAGGTGTGAACAATCCACTGCTTCTATTTTGAAATAGCTATTCCTGGGGCTCTAGGTTGAGGTAGCGCATCCACCACAATAGAGCCTGCCTTGGATTAATTTTGAGGCTCTCCCGTTGTGGGGATTTGCTATTTCAATTTTATAAAATCAGGACTTACTATTTTGAATGTAGTTATTTCTAAATAATTTCCTAATGTAGACATACCCTAAGTATGGTTTTCTAGCCAGTAGTACACCCATGTATAATATGCTTATTAGGCTATATTTCCCTATCTGGTCTATAAGAGGGTCATGTAAAGTCTCAGAAGCTTTAACTTGCACAACTGACTTTTCAGAACTTTTTTTTAGTTGCTTTGCATTTCTAAAGCACTTGTTTTGATCATTCATACGTGTTTTATTTCTTCATTCCCTCAGTCTCACCATCAGTATCATGAAACCATGCAGGACCACACTCTAATCCCTGTTGTAAATTAGGTGTCAAACACTCATGCTAGTGAAGGTTATTCATAGCTTCCAAATAAAACAGAGATTAATTTCTGTGTGACAGAAAATGAGGCATTGCCATATTAGTGCCTTTAGTCTGATGACTGACTAGTGGCAAATGATCATTCTCTGTGCATCTGTTCCTAAAGCATACACAATGCATTATTTGTTTAAAAAAATTAAGTGAGTTAGGAGTCTAAGTCCAAATTTCATAAATGAGATAGGTACTAAAGCTCAAATTCTTTTACACATTTTTGAAAATGTTACCCATGATGTTTAGTTTCAGTTAATTATGCAGAGAATGTTTATTGGGCACCAACCTTTCCTTTTCTGTTAGAGTTAACCTCATGTTGTGCGCTGGTTAGAAATAAATAAATTAATTAAATTAAATAAAATGCTCAAAATGCTTATCATACCTGATTGTGGACTCTGTTTTGGGATTTTAGCTGCTGCTTCGGGGCTGGATGTGGAGCGCAGATGCTGATTGGAAGAGTTATGAACACTACTTGGAACAGCTGCTGAGATGTTCTTGCGAGGTTTCATACCTTGCAACCACATTGGGGATGCTTCAAAGGCCTGCATTCGCCGAGAGTGGCTGTTAGCATTGACTTTAAGAAACGCCTGGGCCTTGTATTCCTGAAGGTCTCCGTAGTTGGCATCTGTCACCCTGCACTCATACAAGCCTTCATCCTTTTTCCTCACTTTTGAAATCTGCAGCTTGTGGGAGATGTCATTCCCTTGTACTTTCACTGTCTGAAATTTGTCCAGGAACAAAAAATACTGTCAGATATTATCATTCTGCCATTCTTTCTCTATGAAGCATATAGCGACCTACAGAATGCAGCTATCTTAAGGGTATGTCTACACTGTAGCTAAACCCCAAGAGCTGGCCCATGCCTACTGATTTGGGCTTACATGACTCATGCTGCAAGCCTGTTTATTTCAATGTAGACTTCTGAGCTCGGCTGGAATCCAGGCTCTAGGATCTGCAAAGTGGGAGGGTCCCAGAGCTCAGATTGCAGCATGCACGTGGAAGTCGACACTTCTGTTAAATAGCCCCGAAGCTTAAGCCCAAAACCCCAAGTAAGTTGGAAGGGGCCAGCCCCTGGTGTCTAAATGCCATGTAGCAGACCATAAAAGACCATAGTCTTAAATCAATATGATGTAATTTTGCTTACTTCAGTTTAAGTTATACCAAAGATTAATTTTGCTCTCTATATGCATAGGGACAACTGGTGACTTAATTCCAAATCTATTTAGATGGTATGCTCTGAAATGTTAATTGGCCTCAGACAAACAACCTCGTCTGCCATGCTCCTTAATTAATTCTTTAAGATCATGAGCATTCTTAATGAGCTTTCTTGCATGAAGCTGATGTCAGTGCATTTTTTTGGTTAAACCTTTCCAATTAGATGACTTTATTGAATCATTCAGATTTTGAACCACTATATTAGCAGCATTATTGGAGATGTTTGCCAATGTTTAAATTTCTTTATTAGATTAACTTGTAGTCTTCATTGTTTTAAAAATTATCACAGCATTAAATGCGTCTCCTTCAGACTTGTAGAAGCCTGTGTACATTCGTTTCTTAGCAGTAATGATGAAGCATCTGGTGACATGTAGCCAGTTTTTTCCCCCTCTTATTTATAGAAGCATGTGCTAATTAAAATATTGTGACATATCTGTGATTTGACAATAGAAAATAGCTCATACTCTGTTATGTTAGGAGGCATCAACTAATACTGAGGTATTCAATGCAGCCTTTGATATCCTAAGGCAATGTAACATTTTTCACCTTGTATAATTAATTTAAAAGCATAAATTATGTATTTTTTTTTAAACAGAACAAGACATTTCAATGTACTCATAAGCAAAAGGTACCAAGCTACCCTAGCAAAAGTAGCCAATTTTTTTTTCTGTACACTTCTTTCCTTATCGATCATAGGTGGAGAAACATTTTGGGTTGGGGCCACTAACCCAAGAGGATATCAATTGGGGGCCACACAAAAGTGAGAAGCAACCCCCCCAAACTGAGGCACGCACACATGTGCATGAATACACATGCTGTCTCTGTCGCACACACACACACACACACACACACACACACACACACACACACACACACACACACAAATCCCAGAAAACCCTTTACTGTGGTGTGATGTTCTTTTTTATTTAATATTTTAGTGTGGTGAGCCTTGTTATGTCTGCTAGAACTGAAGATGTTGCTATTCTTAACTGGCTTTCCAGGTTCATATCTGTTAATTTGGCATGCAGGAGGTTCTTTGCAAGAAAAAGCTTTGAAAAGAACTGCCCAGCTGTGGCTGCCTTTGCCTCCCTTCTCCCAGCTCCCCATACTGGGAAGGAGTTCGGGGCTTCCCTTCCCTCCCACTCTTGCAAGTGGCTCTCCCCTCCCTCTCCTCTGCACTCACCACCTTAACTGCAGGCGAAAGAACTGCTGGCAGCCTCTGGCTGGGCTGCCTGACATAGTCCCCTGTTGAAGCTACCCTATGCAGGGAAGGGGCTCTGGAGGGGGCTTTCCTTCCCTCCCACTCCTGTAAGGTATTTCCCCCTCCCCTTAACCTTAATCAATAGTAATGTAATGCCTATATTGATCCACTCATCAAAAACAATACAAGAGAAACTGAAAGGTTAGTCAATGTGGAAATTGCCTCTGTGAGGCCAAATTCTGCTTTCATGAATCTCCATGCAGCATCAACCAAATCATTGATGGTGAAGAGACATGTCTTTTCTCTTTGGCCATTTCTAAATTTTAAAATGCAATGACAGTTAGCTTCATTTTATAGTATCCTTCTTCCAAATTATATGTTCATAGATTGTTAGGCCAGAAAAGACCACTGTGATCACTTAATCTGACTTCATGTATAATACAAGCCATTGAACTTCTCCAAAATAACTTTTCAGAGAAAAAATCCAATCTTGATTTAAAAATTGACAGTGATGGAGAATCTACCATGACCCTTGGTAATATGTTCCAAGGATTAATTATTTTAACCAATGACACCTTATTGCAGTTTGAATGTGCCTGTCTTCAACTTCTGGTTATCAGATAGCATTTTGCTTTTCGCTGCTTGATTGTAGACCCATTATTAAATATGTCCCTCATACACATACTTATCAACTCCAGATGTTCAATCAATTTAGCTAAACAAAAAGAAAGCTAGAGAGTGACTTAATTACAATAGAGGTGATCATCTTGAGTCACTGCTTCCAAGGACAGAGTTCACCATCCTGCATGTATGGCCTACATTCTGTGTTCCCAGTCATATGTGTTTATAATTAGCCTTATTACAATGTATACTGTTTGCTTTTGCCCAGTTTAACACACAATCTAGATCATTCTGAATCAGCAACCTGTTCTTTTCATTATTTATCATTCATTCCCACATTTTTAAATGTTATGTGCATACTTTTTCAATGGGGATGTTATATTGTCTTGAAGGTCATTGTTAAAGGTACTATATAACCTAGAGCAAAGAACCAATCCCAGTTGGACCCCATTGGAAATGAGCCCGCTCATTACAACTACTTTTTGAAAACTATCAATTAACTAGTTTTTTTTTAAATCCATATAATGTGTATCATGTTAATTTTATATTGTTCTAGTTTTTTAGCAAATATTTTGAGGTACCAAGTCAAACCCCTTATAGAAGTTTAAGTTTTTATATCAACACTATTACCGTTGTTAAACAAATTTGTAATTGGACCAAAAAAAAACCTTTCATTAGACAGGATCTATTTTCCATAAATCCATGTCAATTTGTATTAATTATATTACTCTCTTTTAATTCTTCATTAATCAAGTCCCTTATCAGGCACTCCATTAGCTTTCCAGCGATCGATGTCAGGATGACAAGCCTATAATTATCCAGGTCATACTGTTTACCCTTTTTAAAATTGGCCTTACATCAGCTTTCTTCTAGTCTTCTGGAGCCTCTCAGGGCTCCAAGACTTACTGAAAATCAACATTAGCTGACCAGTAAGCTCCTCAGTCAGCTCTTTTTAAAATCTTTGATTCAAGTGATCTGGATCTGCAGATTTAAAAATGTCTAACTTAGTAACTTCTCTTAAGTGATCTCCAAAGATACTAGTGGAATGGGAAGAGTGTCCTCATCAGCTGATGAAACCAAACCATCTTTTCCCCCCAGATACAGAATAAAAATATGTATTAAACTATTCTGCCTTTTTTTTCATTATTATATATAATTCTACCATTTCCATTCAGTAATGGAACAGTAATTGTGTCAGGATTCATTTTGTTCCTAATACATTAAAAAAAAAAACCCTGCTTCTTATTGTCTTTAACTCTATTGGCCATAGCTTTCAACTCGTGTCCCTTGGTTTCCCTGACCAATTTGCTTCAATTCCTAATTTCTTATTTATATTATTTACTATCAAGTTCTCCTTTCTTTGTTTTTATTTATTTTTATTTTTATAACTGTCTTCCCTTCCCATTCAAACCAGGTAGGTTTTGTTCTGTTTTTTAACCAGCACATTTTTCTTCTTTTGCAGGATTGTGGCTTTTGAGGCATCTAGTCAGGCATTCTTAAATGATTTCCAAATATCATTCACATTTTTCTAATTAAATTCTTTCTTCCAGATGATTTGTTTCTTAATTGTTTTCAGTTTTGTGAAACTGGTCTATTAAAGTACAATTTATATACCTACGCATATACACCTTTCAGGCCAGGATTTCATTCTTCTTGTATGTTTTAAAAGTAATCAAGTCATGATCACGTGTACTAAAGCTACTATTAATTTATAGTTCTGTGATCAGTCCCTCTTTATCTGATAGGACAAGGTCTAATATATAATTTCCCCATATTGGCTGCAACACTTTTTGAGTTAGGAAATTGTCATCTATACTATTTAGAAATTCCAATGATGGCTTAGTACTAGGAGGATGAGAATTCCAGCACATGTAACTCAAACTGATTTTCCCCATGATCAATTTTTTCCCTATACAATTTTGATAGGTGCATGAAGAGATGGACAACCTGTTCCCTAGTGTGAATTAGCTGGTGTTCGCTTGTGTCCCATATTGAACTTTATCTGTTAGGTGATTGATCACCAGAAAAGGTGAGTTTCATCATTGTTAAAAACCCAGACTCCACCTTTTACCATCTCTTCATAAGGATTTACCAAATGCAGACAATGGTTTATTCTCCATTTCTTAAGTATAAACTCCATTAATGTTAATATGAATTCTATTCATGCATCCAAGAAAAAGTAGTCTCCTCTTATAACAAGTATATCTGGAAGTTCAAGTTAATGTATTTTACAAATATAAAATATCTATTACACAAGTCTATAAAATATTGGGCTGTATAATACAATATCCTGGCCTTAATTATTAACATACATAATAGGAGACACATTTACTGTCAAAGGCCTGACCACTGTAACAAACATGAGCCAAATCCTGTATTAAGTCAACATTTCTATGAACTTTGGTGGGAGTTTTGAATGAGTAGGTTCTGAGTAATTAGAGAGTTTATTAGGAGTGGTTGTATTTCTATTGTGTTAGTACACAAAAAGCCTCAATCAGAAGTCCTTATCAGAACATATGATCTGTTATGCAATGGGTTTACAGGGTAAAGTGGCAAGCAACATAGGAAATGTGAGTTAGAGGACTGTGGTCAAAGTGTGTACACTGTTTAACAGAACGTTAAAATGTCACTTCAGCTACAGCCAACTGCCCTTCAATCTAATATTAATTAGTCAGCTTGTACGCACCAGAGAAGAAGGGAGTGAAGTATTTAATATACATGATTAGTATATATTGCTGGTTAATGTGGTTGTTGATGATTTAGGGCCATACTGTGCTTGTGTTGGACTGCACTGCTCCAGCAGGAGTTCAAAATGGAGTTTATCTGAAAGGCAAAATCCCTCTGCAGGACAAGTGAGATGTGTACACTGCAGTATTTGTTAAGAATGCACTATGGTCCTATCACCTTAAATCTCTAGGGCACTGAAAGGGGGTAGTCCCTCTCCTCCTGTAAGTGCAGAGACTGCAGAAGAGGGAAAAGGCTTCTGTGCCCTCCACTCTCTGCTACAAGCTCCATAAGAACATAAGAACAGCCATGCTGGGACAGACGAAAGGTCCACCTTACTCAGGATGCTGTCTGCTGACAGTGGTGAATCCCATTTGCCCCAGAGAAAATGAACAGAACAGGCAATCAACAAGTAATCCATCCCATGTTGCCCATTCCCAGCTTCTGACAGAGCCCAGGCCCAGCATTTGCCTGACCCACAACTGCATGGAAATATTAATATCCAAATGGGGACTAGTTAATTCCAGTATTTTAGAGTCTATTCTTGAAGGTTTTACACAGAGAGCACACCTAATGAAAGCAAAAGAGGTATTACCACAGGAAGAATTACATCTTGGATCTTATCAGGCCAGAAGCCTCTGGCTCCCAGCTTTCACAAATTTCTGAAATCACCCATTTAAGTAGCTGAATCAATTTAAGTAGGTACCTACTCCACCAGAAGGGAAATACGGTTTCAGGGCAACAAAATGTATTCCTCTTTTAGAATTCTGGGTCTGGATCAACTTCTCCTGGGGTCAATCCAACAGAAGGGATTAATTGGAAATGGATAGGTGGGGACTTTAGGTGACATACTCCTGCAGATCCCAGCCCCAATGTAGAGCCCTCTGCAAGACCTTGGGATGTATGCCTGGGTTCAACTGAAATGGGGAGCAGTTCTCAGGAGGAAACTGACCCACCTTTCTGTTTAGGGTGAGGCATATTTGTGGCAAGCATGCCCTGGCCCTTGATTTTACTTCTATTGAGGAAATCTGTACCAATGCAGATTAATGAGACCCCTTGGGCGGTATTGTTCCTGTCATATTGTGTACAGGGCTACGAAAATATCTGTCCAGAAGTCTGTCACATCCTGTAACCAGCCTGAGAGGGAGGAACAGAAAAACCAAAGTAAGCCCCATCCCTATAACAAGTTGGTTGCCCACCGACTTTTGGAAGCGTGTGAAATCAGATGGCAAGAGTGTCATCAGCTCTGGAGAGATGCTCTCTCATTTAGCGTCAGATACTTACGCTTATCTTTGTTCCGTCGTTGTCCAAGTCTCTCTCTGGCAGGAGCTCCACCTGTTGGGAAAGGATCACATTTGTGGCCAGCAGTCGCCGTGCCGGGCTGGGCTACTGGCCCTTCTGCCAAACCATCCCTAAGGCAAAGCAGCCGGGCTTTCTCCGGGAACACTCGCGTGCTAAGGGCGCCACCTATCGGCACAACCTCGTTGGGAGCGCGAAGCCAGCGTCGGTTCGGAACAAGGGCTAATGCGGCAGCCAGCATGACAGGCGCGTGCACACGGCAAACACTGGAGCACTAGACCAGATGCCTAGGGTCTGCTTTTGAGATGACGCTGTCACTTTGCACCCTGTTAGGATTAGGCGGCGAGACTGGCCCTTAGCTTAATACGCATGGGGAGGGCAGGGAAGGGTGAAAAGGTTAGAGACGATGCTTATCTCCTCTCCCCCCCCCCCCTTCAAATGTTTAAAGCAAAGGGAGAGTTCCCTCTCCCCTTTCTTTACATAAGGAGGCACTGAACGCAGGCGATGCGGGCGTGGTTGTCCCGAAATGCTACACAGACTCGGATCTGACCGCTATCCAGTTTTTTTTCAGTGTTAACTATCAATCAGAAACAACGCAAGGAGAAAAAAGGAGACTATCTACAAAAAAGAGTCCTCGCTGGCAGTGCACTTGGAAGGCTCCCGCGATGGATTTTTTGGGAGGTGTGTATATAAGAGCTCCCCACAATAGTTCCCCTCCATGCCTGCCCAGTTAGACTTACACGTTCGAGTGCACCAATGGCTAATAGGGGATTGGGGTGTTATTCTGCCACTGGGGAAATACACGCCCTGCAAGGAGCACTCTATTAGCATAGGCTTTCTTTGACAAGGGATTCAGACTTGAGCTATCCATGTCGCTTCCCTAAGAGCGGCAGGCACCGAAGAACCCATCCCCTAGTGTGGGCATGTCTCCCTGATGCCTACTGAGATGCAGTTCATGGGGAGCATTAAGCCGTCGGCAAGAATAATGTATCCTCTCTCGCCCTCTCCCTCCTCCCCCCAGACTCCCGCTCTTTGGGAGTGTTTGGGCGGATTGGCCATTTGCAAGGGAGGGGGGACCCAGTGGAGGCGCCTCAGTACCTGAGTGCCCGTCACCTCGGCTCCAGCCTCTTGCTCCTCGGCTGCTCGCAGAAACCACCACTGGATCTCGAGGTACACGGAGGCGGAGCCGCTCTGGAAAGCGCACGACATCTCCACGTTCTGCCCTTCAGTGGCTGTGACATTTCGGGGGAATTCGGTGAATTTTGCTGCAAAACAAAGACACCGTTTGTTGGGATCTTCCGCTCCCTCCTCTCCCCCTTCCATTTTCATCTGTTTCCCCCTTATTTTCTTTCTCCCTACCTTTTCTCCTGTTTCCCTCCCACTCTCTTTGTCCTTTTTTCTCTCTGCCCACCTTTCTACATCTCGTTCCCATTTCTCTCTTCCTGATCTTTTCTTGCTCCTTTTTCCCATCTCTCTTCTTCTCTCGTCCCCCTGCTCTTTGTTTCGCATCGCACATTTATGTATTTTCTCCCGTCTACACAACTCCTCTCTTGTAATCAAGTCTGGCTAATGGTCAGGCAAAGTATCCCCTCTGATCACTCTCGGGTTAAGAAAGTTACCTATAGGTCTAAATATCCTTGGGGGAATACATTATGTCACCGAACACGTTGGGAGATTTCACTGAAAGGCCATTTGGGAAATCAACCCCGCTCATGTATTGCATTTCCTAGATGAGCTATACCCTTTGAATTATTAAACACTATATGGTTAACTGAAATAGATATTTAGATTGTGTAATGTGCTAAGGGGTGGGTTATGATCACTCATCAAAACGCACCTTTCAAACACATTAACTGAGTCACGTATATTTCTATGGTAATTTATGCTGGCACAATGAAATCAAGAAACAGTATTTCTTATCATTCTTCGTCCTAGCACACACACTTTACGAAACGAACAAACCTCACAGGTCCTCAGAGATGATTCTCCCCTCTCCCCTTACTATATCTCTCTACCGGTTTAGCAAATTCCTACAAATGCACACAGTGCAAGACACCAATATTTCTTAAAGTCAGCATTGTATCTGCCTGTGTTTTTCTTAGCTTCACGTGTGGCTCATTTCAAAATAGAGCAAACTTGATGGTACTGTATATCTTATCTTATAAACCGCACCCTGGCCAAAGCGGGGGGGGATGAAATCAAACTTCTGCTTGAAATCTGAGAAAGGTTGGGCAGGCAGACCCATTGCTCAAAGAATACAACATCCATTCGCAGCTGTGTGTAGTTATAGGTTGACAAAGCTCAGGAAGGAATACTCCTAGTGTTCCTCTTTCTCCCTAATGCGCCCAACCTCGTTATTAGAAGTTTATTCGGGGGAAGAGGTGATTTGGGAATATAGTGAACCACCTTTTGTTTTCTAAACACCTGCATTATGAAACAGAGGCATAAACAGACTGGTCATTTTTTATCCTAGTGTTCTCCCGCCACATTATTTTTACTTATTGCTGGCTATTCAGCAGGTAAGATGACCGTTCCTTCAGCGTGCTCAGGGGCTGAAAGAAGTTTTCCTCCCAGGTCAATGTAAAACACACACACACACACACACACACACACACACACACACACACACACACACACACACACACACTCTCTCTCTCTCTCTCTCTCTCTCTTTCTCTCTCTTAAGACGGGAGTTGTGTGTTGCAGAAATGATGCAGCGTTCGGAGGACAGCCTGAGGCGCTCTGTCCATGGTTCTGAAATGATCACTGCAGCCCTCAAAGTCCCACACAACTGGATTCTGCAGAGCGGGCTCTGTTTGGAATGCAAGACAAGCTTTTTTTTTTTTTTAGTGGGGTCTTCAAAGAAGTCGATCTTTTTTTCAGATCTATCCCTAGTCACCAAAGAAAATCAAAGATACAGTTTGAAATATTTAAGGAAGGCATATGATTTAGCCATCTTATATTACGTGTGCATGTAATAATCATGTATGCATGGGCGGATATTTTCTGTAAACCCACATATATACTCAACCCAAACATGCGTTTGTGTACATTCATCATAAACATACACACACAACATTTTTTTTTTGGGGGGGGGGGGAGTCTGGCTAGCGTGTACAGTTTGAAATATTTAAGGAAGGCATATGATTTAGCCATCTTATATTACGTGTGCATGTAATAATCATGTATGCATGGGCGGATATTTTCTGTAAACCCACATATATACTCAACCCAAACATGCGTTTGTGTACATTCATCATAAACATACACACACAACATTTTTTTTTTGGGGGGGGGGGGAGTCTGGCTAGCGTGTTCCTTTAAATTCCTCCTTGCAATCGAGACAAGGAACCCGGTTTAGTTTCACTAGGAGTAAACTTCTTCCCTCTTCCGCTGTTTGTTTATCGTTTCTAACGCTGACATTTCTGATTTTCTTGGGCATCTTTTTTTGGAAGCTCTGCTTCGGATTTGAAACGGAGCGCGCGCGCGCACACACACACACACACACACACACACACACACTATTTGCCAATGCGCGAGCTTACCTTGGGTAGAAAGTCCTTGTTGAATGTACAAAACGGAAAAGAAAATGCATCCAACATACGCCAGAAAGATCCCCATCATTCCAAAGCGAAGCGAAAGTCACATCAGGGTAACCAAAACCAGAGGTGCCCTCAAAAGAAGGAATCTCACACACCAATTTACAGAACGGCTCTGCGCGGTAGCCCTGGCTGCGACACTGCGAGCATTCTGCGACTCGGTGGAATCTTTTCTTTGGGAAGAGCGAGTATTGCAATACACTGAGGGTTCAGATGCGCTGGCTCGGGCGCTGTGATGCTTGAAGTCCAGACTGAGACTAGGGGGAAAAAAGGAAAAGAAACGTCGAAAAGTGGGTATCAGTTGCCTTCTCTGCCTTTTTTTCAGCTACCTGGCAGCTCTGTCTAACGTCAGCTCCAGCTGCTCAGGATTGCGTGGTCATGACTGCCCTCCCTAAACACTGATCCGGCTTAGGAAGTGGGGAGTGAGGGAAAGGGGAGGGGAGGAAGGGAGAGGAGTCTACTGTGTTTGCATTGCTTCAACTTTTCCCTCAAATGGCTGCAATGATGCCTTTAACCCTTCGTGCTTTCTGGGGTCTCTGTACCTTTCCACCTACTGTTACTTAGGCTGGGTAACAGGCTAGAGGAAAGCAGGATTTTGTCTGGAACCAAAGTGCTTTTCTTGCACTGATACAATTTCCAGTCAGGCATCCCACATCGGTCAGAGATTACGAGGGTAATGCAGTGATTTGATTTTTTGATGGTTTCCTCCCTGTTTCCCTATGCAACTTAGGGGGAAATGGTTAATAATATCAGAATGCTGTTGAACTTCTTGTTGACTGCCCCAAACAACTATGCTCACCTAATCATTTTCATTCAAAATGTTGTCCATCATCTCTCCCTTCTAAATAGATTAATAGGATTTTAAAGTGATGAGTTGCTCATAGGCTACATGTATTTATATATGATCTTAGGATATATATAGGGAAATGTCCGTACACACTCCCACATCTGTTTGTGTCTGATTTTCCCTAAAAATCAGACTTTGATACTTTGATATTCTATTGACGTGTCATAGTAAAAATTATATATATATATAATATATATACACAGAGAGAGAGAGAGAGAGAGAGAGAGAGAGTACAGAGCTTCTGAACTACATTAAGAATGTTTCCTTTCAAACTGTATTCATTGCACATTCCTTGTATCAACTGGGATTCACAAGACTATGATACCATATTGCAGTCAAGAGGCAATCCTTGACTATAAGAGGAATTCAAAAGTCTTAAAAAGACCCCTCTGACCAAAATATCCCACTGCCTGTAGGAAGGAGCCATTCAGAAAGTATTTGTTGTGTTAAGGAAATACTAAATACCTTTGAATGGATACCAAAGAGTAAGAAAAAATTCCAGACACTGAAATGAAGTGGGTATATGGCAAGTAGTCAGACTGACAGATTGTTTTTATCATTCATAGATAAAAGCCAAAAAGAAGCATTTACAGTCCGTTAGGAAAAATGTAGCCATAAAATTGCATTATATCCATATGAACAAATTGCATCCCCATTGACTGAAGCATTGGGTTGGTCTGCCATTTAAAACAATGGGAATGCAGCAATTCCACAATGGCTAAGGAACAACTTTTGCCTTACTCACTGCACCAGTCTCTCTCAGATAAAGTGATTATATCTACATCAGGTATTTGCCAGATGGAAGATAGCTGTCTGGAACGAGACCATGGGATTAGTGTCTCCAGCTTCAAGAATAGTCATTTTTTCTTCACCTCAACACTTATTTACTTTACAAATGTCATACTTCCCCCTAGATATTTATATAGCAGAAAGAGATATTTCCCTGTGAGAATGGTCTGTTCCACTGATGTCACCTTTTAAGTATAGCAATGGTTTTTCACAAAAAAGAGTACAATGTAAATACTCATAAATGACTGCAGATAGAGCAAAAGTACTTAATTTTCAAAGGTTTATTTTGCTATAGACATTTAATTTTTTTATGGAAGTTATGGTAAATGTATCAAAAGCCTGCTAACGGTCTACAAAATGAAGGGAGAGAAAAATAAGTTCTTAAATATGAGACTGAATTTTCAAAAGTGACTAGTGATTTTGAGCATCTCCATTCTCAGGTATCCAACATTAAACGCCTGATTTTTTAAGGTGGGATCCAAGCATTTTATGAAAAGTCAGACCTCTTTCAGATATCTCAAGTTGAGCAGCGCAAATCCTTAGTCACCTTTGAAAATATACGGGTGACTGATTATATGTTTACATTTAACTACATACATGTAATCAGTAATGAATGTAAATTACAAATTACACATACGTTATTAGTAGTCAAGTTGGAAAAATTCTATGCAGCATCACCTGGTTTGGAGGGAAAGCGGGGACCATAAATAGAGCAATCATTTTTATTCCAATCCAGACACAATTTAATTTTGTAATTTGCAATTCCAGGTAAAAGCAAATAGATTTCTCAGAAAGGCCTTATAATCATCTGTAGTGACTAAAACTTGTGCTACCATGATAGGAAGGAGATTCTTTATTGGATATACAAAATAACATCCATTCCTGTTAATGTGAGAGGGGAAGCGAAAGAACAAGAAGTTGAAATAGGGAAAAGTATCCTAAAACTTGGACTATCGTCAGTATATTGCTTTATTTATACAATGAAATAGTGTTTTGTGATGTTACCATGTTGCTGATAGATATGGTTAGATTTAAGCAGTTTCACATAGAGGAAAGAATTCCTCTTCAGCCTGTCCAAGTAAAATGCATCTAGATGCAGAGACCTTGTCCAGAGCCAACCGCATCATGGAAGTCCCACACTGGGTCTGTGCAAGGAAGTACTTGGACCAACTATGCTTGGAAATCTCTTTGTTCCTCTTGTGCTACAGAAAGGGGTTTTATGCTGACCCATAAAGTATGGTGTGAAGATCACTGGCTTGTGGGAGGAGTTATGGTATTGAAGCTTTTGCAAATTCAGTGGCTCTAAGACATGCATAAGTGGCAAGGAGGTGCTGTGTGTAGGCTAGAGCACATGCACACAGTAAAGGAGAATTTCAAAACTGCTTACAAATTTAGAAGCAGAAATCCCATTGATCTGGATCTGAATATTGCAGCTTCAGCTTGTTTCTAATAGCCATGCGTTATAAAAATTGTTTAATATGTATATCAATGTAGCATCCATCCAGGATCAGTATGCCCTTATATACTATTAAACACACACAGAAACATGTGTCCTCCAACCAAAGAATCTTATGATCTTAATAAATGTATACCCCTATTGACTGATCTCAATGACTTCAAGGTTCAGATTGATTATGAATTTTCTCGGTTAATTATTGATCTCATTCACAATATGTCTTTATCTATATCTGTTGTTGGAGAAAATTGTCAACGCTTTAAGAAGGGAGGGGTGTCAGCATCTATTAAAGAAACCATCATTAGGTTCCTTCTCCAGACACCTTTTGGTGATGTGGAAGATCTTACTTATTGATCTCTTTCAGGTTTCTCATTTCAGAGGAAGGTAATCAAAAATTGTGGGAAAGGCAGTCTTGATAATCCCAATTGTGAGGCTGGCAGACCAGGTGTCAGCTCTTGCCAATGCCTCTGGCCTCACTGAATACTGATGAGTGCACAGCTGGGAGCCAGTCTGAGTCACCATGATGTCTGTCTCCCATAATATAAGGTGTTATTTAAATGTTTGCTCTGTAACTATAAAATGTTTGGTAAGGGCTAGTCTACACTTATAGCAGTACAGAAAAGCATCTCCTCTGGTGCAACAGTGCCACTGTAGTGTTTAGTGAAGATGCTGCCGATGCAGATTGAAGAGTTTCTTCTGTTGACATAGGTACTATGTCAGAAGCCCTGCTATTGACAAAGTGCTGCTTACATTAGAGGTTAAGTCTATAAAACTATGTCATTCAGGCGTATGGAAAATCCCAAACTTCTCTTTGTAATGCTGCTCCCCTGTCTGTGGGAAATTTACAATCTTAAGCTTGGTCTTCATTACAAACTACAAAGTGTGAATTACTCCATAAGAAATATTACAGGAAGGGCTACTGAATCCAAATGGCCCATTGTGGAACAAGTCTTTGTTGTTGCTTTGCCTACAGCCCTTAAGAGGATATGTGCCCTTACTTGCTTTAACCACATAAATAATTCTCCTTTCTTTTTTCCTAGCTAGAAGAGGTGTAGTTAGTTTACCATAGATTTGTCTTCAGCATGAAGTCTAAAGTGCAAATTGACCTGGGATAAGCGAATGGTCCTTTGGGACTAGTAGTAACCTGAATATTTTGTGAACGTTGCTGAAAAGTCATCAACTGTCACACAGTCAAGTTTGCCTGGGTGGAAAGATAGATCAGACTTCTGAAGAAGAATATCTGTGACTCCATTTTAAAGCTGTATTGTGCCTGAGGAGTTTACATTTTTATTTGGTTATGGAAATCTAAGTGTAAAACTCACAATCAGTTTGGGTTATGCTCCTTAACAGGCTGATATTCTTGCCTGTGAGCCACTCCAGACACAGTGACATCACTCATTCCTGTATTAGGCTGTTGTATTGAGTGGACAATGTACTATCCATCGCCTCTGTTGTTGGAGACATATGAAGTTTCCTTTTAATTATTTTAGGTCTATCTGATTATTTTTATTGCTCCTAACCATGAGGTATTGTTGGCATGTTTGCTGATCATAGCAAAGCTTGACAAAGTTTCACTTGGATGGCTCAATTTCTTTCTTTGAAATGGTCCCAGGAGGTGGTATTGGACCAGGTCTGTTCTCAGAAATCTCTCATGAGAGATTTGACAAGAATCGCCCCTTCCCTTCAATGTTTATGTGAAGTTACTATGAGCCTTAATGAAATTATTTTTGCCATGTTGCCTTCTGTAAGTAGATTACATCTAAAGCTATGTATCTAGTTTTTTTGGACTGGATAGTGCATTCAAGCAATATATCCAACGTCTGGTTGAGGTATAAAGGAGATTTAGCTGGCTGAGACTCAACCCAGAAAGATATGTGGATCCTTGGCTGCTTGAGGGTGCCCATTAGTTGCAGTGGACAAATGTATTTTTTCATCTGCATTTGGCAAGAAGGGTGCAACCTTTTCTGTAGATGTGAGCCCTGCTACCATTAATCATGCCTTTATCTTTTTTTTTTTTTTTTTGGTAAAGAATTTCCCCCCTTTCTTCCAGGAATAAAACATCAAATTAAAAAATAGCTACTTGTACTTTTGCAATGTTTTACATACTATCCCTAAGCATGCAAATAGCAATTCACAAAATACATTACATGATAGCTACATACTCTGCATATGTACATATACAGTCATTGCTGCATGAAATACTTGTCATGATACATGCTGATAAGCAACCAGTTGAGGATGAATTTGTACTATTCAAGTTTTCAATTGCCTAAGTGATTGGGGTTCACTAACAAGCATCTGAAAGCAGAATAGACTCTTAGGGCTTTGAAATCGCTCTGCAGAACAAAGGAAGAGAGGCTTTCTTGGATGCCATTTATTTAGCTTCTTCTGTGAAATGTCTCTGCTGCTGAGTGTGACTGAAGGATATGTAATG